TACACCTATCCTAAATTTATTTATTTTGTTCTATTTTTGTTTCTCTCGCTCTTTTTCTATGTCCATATTTCCTTCCTCCCTTCCTCTGCTCTTCATTCGTTATTCCAATTGTATATTTGAGTCTGTGCATTTTGTTCTCCCTTATTCTCTTTCTCTCTATATTTCTCTCTCCTTCTCTGCTTACTCCCTAAATGTTTGCTTATAATTCTGTCATTTAATTCTTGTTTTTTTACTCTCACAATTTCTTTGAAAGCAGTTGGTGATCCGAACTGCTCACTGTCCCTACCTTTCCGTCTTTTTCTGGTTCCTGTCTACGTCTGGTGCTTTGTTTGCCCTCCAACTCTTTCTCTCTCTCTCACACACACACTCTTTATTTCCTGTACCAGAAGCAATTCCATATGACGGCTACGAAGGCGTGTCTGACACGTGAGCATAAATCATGGCGCCCCCGTCTTCCTCATTTGAGTCACTTCCTCCCCGCATAGCCAGCGCTCGGCTTGCCGTGCATTCGGCCACTCTGCTCCCTCACCCGCCTCCGCTGGCCGACAAGGCTGGTTCGTGGTTCGAGTCCCGGCTCGTGCGGATACAGGCAACTGCCGACTCGGCCTCGCCGGAGTAAGCAGTGGCAGCAGCAGAAGTCGCAACGACCCACAGGCCTGCCAGACCGTTGGGCGAACCGTCTGGCCCTTTGGCGGGGGTGACTGCCGACGAGGGGATTGGGGTTCGTGCCTCGTTCATGCCCCACCTTCCGCTTCTTTGTCTTTGGGCCACAGTCCAATTGTATTTGATGAGAGCCGGCCTCGGGTTGGCAAGAGCAACTTGCCTGCAAAGACTGCCATACAAGATTGATGTTGACGTACCTCCTTTGGTGTGAAATGGCGAGTGGAATGGATTCGTAAATTGGCCTCTCCAACGTAGATACAAAGACAAGACGGATTTTGTGGTATCTCTTGAGATTACATTGAGCTGGAGACTCACATTTCGCATTTAAGTGTGGATTGGCTTTAATACAATTTTCCTGTTGATGAAGTCTACGAGACACACTCCCTCGTTTCGGGTGGAAACGTGTTGACTTTTCTTTCGTCCATCGTAAAAGCTGGAGCTCCTCCTTTCGAAATCTATCCTACATGCGATAAATGCATACATAAATAAAAAAGATAATATATATATATATATATAGAATGATTTACTTCATTTTTTTATCATAAATTTCAGGGTACTTATTCATGAGTGTGTATGTATGTGTATGTGTGCGTGTGTGTGTGTTTGCATGTGTCATAACTCTGAATAATTACGACATTTATGAGTCATGATCAGTATTACGTACAGCTATTGACAAGCACACGCAGACAAAGACACACTTATGCAAAAGTGCTATGATTAATCTAAATCTTTACTGATGAGCTTACTTCCATTTCAAGCGAAAGTGTTTAATGAATAGATTCAAAGATACAGCCCACCAGAAGTCTACGGCGGATTTCTCTTGACAAGCTGTCAGAACTGGCTTTAGCGAAGCATTATTTTGTCAGCTATTTCTGAGGGAATCTTCTTCGTTTCCGAAGTAAGCCTGCTAATCTTTTGTCCATCGTATAAGGGACAACCTCAAAACAGATGGCGTCATCGTTGTAGCCACATCCGAGCCATCGAGTCAAGAAAACTCACCGCTTCATCACTAAATGCTGTAAACATACCCTAAATCCAGGCTCTTTGATGAGATATAAAGTTATTTGGTTAGTTCAAGTTGTGTGTCAGCTTCGAAGCATGTGAGTGTGTCGCCTGCTTGTGTTCGTATATGCACGAAGCCAGCAGTGATGGGTTAAAGTAATAAGAACATGAAAGGTGACAAGGTGTGTATGAAAAACTGGGTTTCGAAGAATCCCCTAATCGAGTGCTGTTTGAGTACCTTTCATTTGGTTCGAAAAAGCGAGTGGAAGGTATTCGTAAGTTGGCCCCACTCGAGGCTGTGGGGGGAGCTGTGGTTGTAGGTTTGTGCGAATAGGCCTTCGGCGTACCGCCATGCAACCGCGAAGAATCCTTGCCAAGTTTTCGTCCGTCATGTGACGACATTTCTACGAGTCCACTTG